GGACATGTTATGCGAATCGCGCAATCAACCCAGTTTCACTACTTTCTGTTAGTCAATTGTGTGCAGGTCACAACTTAGGGTACCAACACAGTATTATTCCCGTTAAAAGTATTTTTTTCCGTTAAATTGCTTTACAATTAAAAACTCCAATGAGGTACATAACATTACATAACGTCTCCATCTTCATCAAAATTGCCATGGAATGGACGTGATGGACAAGATGACGATTTGTGACCTGTTTCTTTACAAGTACAACATCTCCCCGGGCGTCTCGATGTTGTTCTTGGATGAGGAGTTGGTGCGTTTTGACCTTCTTCATTTGAAAAAAAGTCATTATCACCATCGTATAGAGGGCACTTTGCACTGTTATGCCCGGTGACCCCGCACCGAGAGCACATCTGCTGACGCCGTACTCGACGTGATGATCCTTCTCAAGCGGAATAACGTTGAGTCTGTGGCCGACCTGCTTGTTTGGGATCATTTGGCGAATTACCTTTATACGCATAATTTTCGGGGGCAAGTGCCATTCATCTGGATGCGGGACCGGATTAATGGTGCTTTGGTACATCTTTGCAACTGAGTAAGTTTTGTAATGGTCGTTAACGAAATCCATTATATCTAACCCGGCTTCCCTGTATACATATCATAAACTTGCACATCATATTAGAATATAACAATTTATTTTTTTTAAAGAAAATAAGATAATGTTGTTTAGTTAACATTACCGAATGGCCGTAGATGCATGTAAGCAAGGTAGTAGATCTGTTTCAAACACACGACACTCACATGTTCTTTCCCCTAAATCAACCACGTAGGATCGTGTTTCTTCCATAACCTTATAACGTTGCATGTCGAGTGTGGTAATGGACAGAGTACGACCTTTCTCGAACAAAGGATCCAACCGCAATTGAGTCCACTGCGTTAGCGGATGATTGCGACCCTCGGTGGATGCACGCCGAACAGCAAACCATTTCTCTATCGTTGCCCGAACACACTCCAACAACGAGCAAACGGGTAACATCCTGGCCCATAGGAGTTTGTTGTTCAAACTTTCGCAGGAATTGGATGTCATGAATCCATAGCGCCGTACAGGTGAAAAACACCTCGCCCAAGCATTTACCGGAATTTTATTAGTTAGCTTTCTAAATGCTTCGAGTTTTTGATTTCGGATGGCTGACAAGTAACAGAAGAAGTCTTCACGCCGATAACAATATGCCGCCTTGTAAAATATGTTCAATACCTGCTTCCCAAAAGGCCTCATTTGTTTTGTGATATGACAATAGCAAAATGAATGATGCGCCTTGGGGAACACTATTGGGACAGAATTCATGATAGACTCATATCTATCCGATACGATGAGGAGGTTCTTAGGACAACCATAGGCCCTTTTCAAATGAGTCAAAAACCAACTCCAAGTCTCACGACGCTCTAGATCGTCAATGCCAATTGCGAGGGGAAAGATTTGGTGATTCCTGTCCAATGTGGCTGCAACAAACATAGTTTTCTTGTATTTTCCCTTCAAGTGCATACCATCTATCACAATCACCAGGACATCAGCTCGTTGAAAGCCCTCAATGCTAGCGCCTAGAGCAAAGAATAAGTGGTTGAATACCTCGCCATCCCGTTGCAGTTCGACAATTGTACCTGGATTACGAACCCGCAACATGTGCAAGTAACCGGGAAGCCGCCCCCATGATTCTTCATGACCCCCATAAACTTTTTCAAAAGCACAGTGTCTTGCTCGGAGGACACATTGCAGCCAATCAACAAACCATGCTCCTCCCGCATTTGCTCAATAATTCTCCGTGTAGATACCGTCTGGGGATTTGTCTGAATAGTTTGTGCGAACACATGAGGGAGAACCTTGGAACTAGTCGAATGCTATCGATTGTGCGTCAAACTCCTTTCGCATGTATGCTCGAGTTTAAAAGTAGTGATTCTCCATACATTTCCATTTGCCCTTGCACATAACTTGTTAGAACACCCTTCATACCGACAGATAGAGGTTAGCCTAGAAGTGCAGGATTTGGGTGTTCGACACTCAACTTTTTGTTGCAAGTAATAGAGTTGGATGGCACAAATCAACTCATCTTTCGAAAGAAAGACAGACCCCAAAGATAATTCTAAATTGTTCGAGGGCAAGTGGTTGGGTTGTCTATCTGATCCAGTTGTCGTGGGCGGCATAGGAAGGGACCACATTCGTTGCTCAACGTCTGATTGTCGTGTGCTACCTGGATTCATATATGCAAGACTTTCAGCCTCAATATGGTCGGTAATTAATCTTAGATCTTCAATATGCTCGCAATACCACGCCTGAAAAAGCTTGAACATATTCTTCTCATTGACCTCTTTGTCTTCGTCGCCTGAATCATCATTGTGCGTGTTGGTTTGGTCATCATTATTGTCATCGTCACGAGAATGACCTGGTTGGTTCGAACAACCCGCCGTTTGATCATCAGCGCCTCGAGGATATCCAGTATGTGTAATGAACTAGGGCCTGCTTGATATAAATATGGGGCCTCGTGGGAAAATGCAGAACTACCAACACCAAAAGAACCAGGAATCCCTACATTTACTCGCTTCTCCAACTCCAGGTAAATGTTGGGATTTCCTTTTTCTTCAATCAGCTCTAAGATATCTTCACTGGATTCGATTTTCATCTTCACAGGTCGTTCCCTTCCATCAAATACGGCCCACAATATGTACTCAAAATGGAGAGGATTGGCCTTTAATAATGCTTAAGCACGAGAAACTGCTTCAGAATACATTTGTCGGCCGTAATTTATTCTCATTAGCTCTTCCACTCCACCAAGATATGAACCCCCGAAAAACGGACCACCATAGTGCAGGAATGCTTTAACACGGTTGCTAGCCATTCAAATAAGTGAACAACAAAAAGAATTAAAACGAAAGAAACAGAAAAATACAGTAGATGAATGGTGCAGAGTACAGACGTTAAATTGTTAGAGATCACTGTTTTTTTGCCATCCCATTCCGAAAGTCAGTGCCACTACCTATGAGATTTCGAAACTAGTCCTCACCTGTGAAAAAGCAGTCAATTTAATGAGGTGCGTAACTTATGCAATAGATATGCGAACAATTTCGAATATTCGTAAAATTGCAAGGTCGATATGGCCCTGCGAAAAAATGGCGCATAATCGTCAAATAAATTACTATGCTTTATTCGATTTGGTTATGCGATTCTTAAATATGCGAGCGAAAAAATGTCGCATGATTGTCAATTATCCGGCGTTATATTGGATATATGCGAAAGTTTTTCGCATATTAGTAAATTATGCGATTGACTTGGATATGCAATTACTAAAATATGCGAAGTCAACAAATTATGCGAATTATATGCGAAAAAGTTTCGCAGTCATAAATTTGCAAGGCCGTATAGCCCTGCGAAAATAAGGAAGGCGCATAATCATCATAAATTATGTTGCATTCGATTTGGATATGCGATTCTTAAAAATACGAAATATTTTCGCATATTTGTCATTATGCGTTTGATTTGGATATGCGATCCTTAAACATGCGAAATGGTTTCGCATAGTCATAAATTATGCGTCTGGTTGGATATGCGTTGGTTCATTTAGACATGCGAGTATAATATCGTATAGCATTTCGTGACTTTTGGGGTGTAAAAGAAGTTATTTGACGGGCCGGTGTGTAAAAGAAAGAATAGAAATATAACGGGGTGAAAAAAATTTTGACTCTTTATTTATTAGATGGATTTAAGTGCTATGATATTTTTATGTTTTACTTTTAGGATGTTGGAGTATTTTTGGTGAGCGACGTGGCACCAAAGGAAATTTTACCCGGAGTTAAGGTTTTTGGGCGGGAAAAAGAAGAGACGTTTTATCAAATGTTTTATTTATGGATTAGCCAGCAATTATATATATAGATTGCTTAGTTGCTAGTGGAATTTTAAGAATGTATTAAATAATATTTAAAATAAAATGATTAAAATTTTGATTTGATGTAAAGTAGGATATAAATGATTGAAAATGATTGGAAATGATAAGTAATTAAAATTATGTGAGTGGATGAATAGTGAATTAAAGGTGATGTGATGTGTAAGAATGACTGGTTTGTATTATTTGATTATATGAATAATATTAAAGATAGTTATGACAAGTTATATGTTATTGTTTCACGTATAACTAATAGAAATTGAAAATCTTAGTTTGTGGGGACGACGAGTTACCTATTAATCAAACTAATAATATTGTGTAGAAAGAGATTTTCAATAATATATGACTTTTTTTCATGACGTACACTTTATTATCACTTGTGAAACTTAAGTATTGTAAAATATTAATTAATAGCCTTCGATTTATAATATTTTTCAAAATAAATGCAGTTCGTGCATCACACGAGTTACATACTAGTAAAGCCAAAATGACAAATAAAAAAAGAATAGGAGGGAGTATTATTTAATATTGTTTACCCGTGCATCGCACGGACTACGCGCTAGTTTTACTCAATTTAACTAAGCTGTATTTGCTTAGGTAGCAAACATTCAAACTTCCAATCCATACGAAAAAATCACGATACCGCGTGTGACCATGACATCCTTAACTAATCCCCACCCCTCCAACCAATATGAAGCTGTAATTCCAAAAACTGAGAAACTAACGCCTGAGATTTGCTCTAATTACCAAAACTGCTGCCAAATTATGCAGACGCATTAAGTTGACTACTGTCCCTGTTTCTTCTTTTGCCTTTTATTATCGTTTTAACATTAGAGGGTGTTTGATTGAGACACTAAAAACTTGTAAGATCTTTCAGTCTAGAAAACCATAAACTGGAAATGTACAGGGCAGAAACAAGATTTTTTTTCCCTTAACAATAATAATAGTAACAAAAAAACGTCTTGCAACTCTTGAATTGTTGAGGACCAAAAACCAAAGTTAACTAACAAAAATGATAGATAATATATTATTTCAATTACCCCACTATTAATAAAAAAGAAGAAGAAGAGTTGAACAACTATATCACCAGACTTCAACTTGAAATTTTGGACCAGCCAAACTCTCCACCAATTGGTTCTTCTCATACAGCGCAACACTCACAGTAAGCTCCTCATTCCCCATTTCCTGTTGCACCTCTACCATTTCCTTAACCGAAGCAACAAGCGACTCATTGCAGTTGATCAACCGTATCCATTTCAGCGTCGGTATCTCTCCAATTTCCAAAGGAATCGCCTTCAAGTTATGAAAATCATCAAGAACGAGGCGCTCAAGGCACGGAAAGTGGTCCCAATCTTCCATCATCCAGTGTTCCACTTCAGGCCACAAATGTATCTCCAAAACCTTGAGCCTACAAAACTGTCCTTGTATCGTTTCCCACTTTAGCCCTTTGCAGGACCGAAATTTCAGCTTCAGCACCTCAAGATGCGGAAGATTCCCGACCTTGGCCGCCAAATCATCCCAAAGGAAGCTGGCGCGCACTAACGTCAACTTCCTGATGGAATGTGGGAACACGAGGCTCATAGCCAGGTCGTGTTCTCGTCTTATGAACGGCTCTTTCCTGCAGTAAAAGTTGCAACAGAGCGACTCCACTACACGCAGCCTGCACAGATTGTCGAGACGGTAATCGTCACGCGACGAGGCTTTCGTGTACGGAAGCATCAGATTCAGCTTCTTCACGTTCGGGATTCTCCTCACCGCCTCTTCGCCCCACTCCGAACTCGACACTGTCTTGAGTGTCTGTAGGTCCCACAGAACAGTCGAATCGGCCGCAGGTTCCGGAAGATGGAACGTGAAAATATTCACGTGCCTCAGTCGAGGCATCCTCCATATGTCGATCACCGGTGGTGCAGAAGAGACATTCCGAACTTCGAGGTCGATTATCAATGTTTGCAGATTCCAGAGATGGTAGAACGAAGAAGGGAACTGGTCGGGCCTCGATAACCGAGCCGCGGCCACAATGTGCCGCGAGTTGACCGGCCGGAAGATGTCTTTCAGGGAATACGTGTATTCCGGAATGAATACTTCGATTCGGTGGAACACTCTCAGCAATTGGGAAGGACGACGCCGTAATTTGTCGGCGCTACAAATCAACGAACGAGCGAGCGTTGCGGATCGAACGGCGTTACGAATTGCTCGGGGAACGTGTTTGTTAGTACTCTCTTCTCGTCTTTGAATTCCTATTCGTCGTTGGGTTTGCCAGATTTGTTGATTGGTACCGTTGGGTTTATCTGTTGCTACTACACAAAAGAATCTGTCCTTTTCGGCTTCTTTCATGCATAGGTCTCTCAAGAGATCGTGGATCCTGAACCGCTTTATGTCTCCATGGCCCCCGAGATCTTGAATTAAGATAAGGTTTCTCTGGACAAGATCCTTTAAGTACTCCTCGGCGGTGGCCTCCAGGGTTTTATCTCCGATCGGTTTCAAAAACCCTTCGGCTACCCATAGCTTGACGAGCGTGGAGGCGCTGACGAGATGGTCCTCGGGGAATATTCCCATGTAAATAAAACACGGCTTTAGATGAACGGGCAAGTGGTTGTAACTCAAACGTAGTATTCTCAAGCAACGTTCGTTGTCGTTTAAATTCACTACCGAATTTAGATTTTCCGCAATGTATTGCCAGTGTTTGCGCGTTTGGACGGACATGGCGAGTAGTCCTCCGGTCACCACGATCGACAGAGGAAGGCCTTTGCAGTTTTTCGAAATCTTCTTCCCGATTTCTTCCAATTCCGGAGGGCAGTCTTTTTCTCCAAAGACGCTTTTCCGGAACAACTTCCAACTATTGTCCTCGTCTAGAAATCCCATCTCGAGGCCACGAGAGCCGCTCAGCTCGAAAGCCAAGTCGGACAGCCGAGTAGTTATAACTATCCTACTCCCGTTATTGTTATCGGGGAAGAAAAACTTGACCTTGTCCCACGCACGGACGCTCCACACGTCGTCCATCACGATCAAATACTTTTGACCGCATAATGTTTTGTATAATATTTCTCCTATTTCATATTCCTTCTTTTTGCTCAACATTTCCCTACTCCCTATGATTTTGAGACAAGTAAGGACTTCCAGGAGAATTTCTTTCGAATCGTATTGTTGGGAAATCGTAGCCCAACCGCGAAGATAAAAATGTTCCTCCACAGTTTTATGTGAATACAAATTTCTAGCGAGAATGGTCTTACCAATGCCACCCATACCGACAATGGGGAGGATCTGGCGAGCCGAGTGCTGTCCCATCAGCTTATCCATGGCTTCGAGCAACACATCATCGAGACCCACCATAGATCCGTGGGGCCCGGAAGGGTGGGGTCTCGGCCCGCCAGCTGGCATCGAATAATTTCTCTCCAGCTGGCATCCTATCTGCTTCACGATCTCCTCCGCGTCTTTCTTGATCAAATCCAAGTCCTGCATCACTTTCTCCAGACCTTGATGATACATGTCGACCGGACGGATATTTTCCTCACGGATCGTGGGTTTGCATAAACCTCCAAAGAATTTGAAGAAATTGGATTTGTTTTCATTATTATTAACACTTTTGGCATTTGCAGCTTGAATCTGATCGACCACATGGGATTCGATTACGTCCTCTGCTTCGTAGGATGCCTCTGCTATACGACCCTCCAAGCGCTCGAAATCTTTGATGGCACCGCCGTTAATGGAATAATTCTCGAGGAAGTCCTGCAAGAATGTGAGATTTTGTGTAAGAGATTGAAGGTGTTTTGTGTGGAGAGAAATTGGAGGGCGAGGATGATTTTGGATCTGGTCTATGGTGTGAGTCAGAGAAAGGAGAGCTGCATAAGCCGCCATCTCTAAATTGACCTCTGTTAGGTTTATGTTAGGTAACTTATGTGGATGTGAAGTTTATTCAGAAATGCAGAGACTATAAAAATGCACAGGTTTGGTGGTTTCTCAGAAGGTGGATAGGTTGGTAATGGAGGGCTGCCACTTGCCAACATGTTATGTATTATTATTACTATTATTTATTATTATTATTATATTTATAAAAGATTGAGTACTGTCTGAGTGAGTTTATGTGTATGTAAAAATACATTGGCCCACAAACAGGCCATAGGTTGTTTGTCCGGGTGTTGATATTACAGGCAGCAGCCTCCGTCGACGGCTTTCTTTATTTGACCAGTCACCAGTGCCGTGGATTCATTTAATTGAGCAGAAGATCCAATTGGCATTCAAATGTGGACCAAATTTCTTTTCTAACTTACAGGGGAATTAGAATTAGAATTACACACACAATCTCAAGTACTAACGTGCATATTGCACTCATGTGCATGCACAATAGCACAAGCTAAATGGATTTAATTTACAAATAATTAAAAAAAAAAAACATTGTTCAATTTGAAATTTTGAATTATACGAATTGAACTTATTAATTAAATGTTTGTTTCTCCCAACTCGTTCTGATAGGGGACACCATAACAGTTAGGGGTGAGTATGGGTCGGTACAGTTCGAAGATTGAGAAATCTCTGGAACCGTACCAAAATTCGGAGATTACTAAATTTGATCTCCAGAATTGTACGTCGGTTCGATTTGGAGATTTTTATTTTTTGGTTGGGTTGAGTTCGGTATTCGAGACCATCGGAACGGTTCAGATCAGTATGGTTCGATTCGGATTTTCGGAGATTTATTATTTTTAAAATTTTTTTGAATGACTACCTAGAGAAAAAAAAATAAAATAAAAAATAAAAAAATACAACAACAACAACAACAACAACATTTATTTATATTTCATCATATTGAAGATTTTATTTTGAAATTAACTTTAGAAATGACTCTAAATTTTAGTTGAGACTAAATTTGTGCAACTAATATTAATAATTTAAAATTCAAACAAAATGTAATATAATTTTTTCTTTAAAAAGATATTCTTTAACTTTTCATACCGTTTTAAATAATTTTTTATAACAGGAAAAATTCAACTGTAGATCATGCATTACTAAGGATGAAATTCAGGTGAATCGTAATTGTTATTACTATATTTTATTTACATTTTAAAAGTTATCACTTTATATAGGATCAAAGTTAATATAGTATATATTAATAACACACATCTAATGTTATAATTCGGTTCTTAATTTCGGTTCTTCGGTTCGGTACTGTATGGGACGGTTTAGTTCGGTTCTCGATACAGATATTTATGAAATCTCCAGAACCGTACCAATAATCATTTCAGTTCGGTTCGAAGAAAGTCAAACAGTCAACGGTTATTTGTTTGTTCGGAGTAATTTCGGTTTGATTTTCGGAACAGTTTGGAATCCTCCGAGTCTCATGCTTAGCCCTAATACCGGTATAGACAGGTCCAGTGCAACCTAAGAGCGGTTCGATCGTATCGAGTAAATCAGCATGTCGATTGGACAACAAGATGTCAGAAATCGTGAAAAGACCAGGTCCACAGCGAATCCATAGGCAAAGTAGCACGACAACATATCGAGAGAGGGCTCTCAGCTAGCCTGACGGAAACTCGACCTGGAGTGAAAAAACCTAATAGATAAACTTACTCGTTGAAGCTCGTAGCGACCTAGTTCAAGGGAAACCAAGCTAGTAACACAATTAGGCTACCTAATGAGGTAGACTAATATGAATACACCATATAATAGACAACAATAAATATAACTAAGATAATAAGGACACGTGGATAGGATCACGTAAACTAATAGAATTAGGCAGTTTGGGCACTCGGGCAGTACGAACAGGTAGCTCGGGCAGTCTTGGACAACAAGGTAATGCTTTTATATAATGGAGTGAGGTATGATCATTTACACTCTACATGTTGGGATCAATATTAATTCATCAATATATCGACATCAGACAAAGTGATAAAGCTTGTAAAGTCAAATCGATACATGAGAGAATCGCTCTTATACTTGTACTGCTAGATTTTGCCGTAATGATGATTCTCCAAGTGTCAATAGTTAGATTTGTATAGATTGATATTGCTTTCGACTTGGTAGTTTTTAATAGCATAAACAGAACCCTCCTCAAATCGTTGATGAAAGTGAGTCAAATAATATAGTAATTCCACCACCCTACAAGTAATAAACTTGTGTAAGCACGATAATACAAATTTGTGTCATATAATTCAATCATAAATATAATAATCTAAAAACACATACCTCAAAATCATGAAATATGATTTCAAGAATATTTTTGTAAGACCATCTCCAGCCCTTATCTCTACTCTAGCGCGGAATTTACTCTACTATAGAGTAGAGTTAAACAACTATCTCCAACCCTTATCTCTACATTTTACTCTACATCAAATATATTATTTTTTATTTCAAATAAATTGGTATATATATGTTTAATTTAATCTTTCTATTTTTATTTGTGTATTTTGTAATTTATGTGTGTTGTATTTTTTTGATTTTAATATTATACTAGTACGATAAAATGGTAATTCTTATTACATATATATATAGGTTGTTTTTATTTGGGTATTTTCTGATTTAAGTTCTATTTATTTATTTTGATAAAATTACATTTTATTATCTATAATAATTTTTAATTTATTTTTAATTAACGTGATATAATTATATTCTTCATAAATAAAAATTTGTCTACAATCCTGTTTTGCGAAGAAACACAAAGAAAGCAATCCTGCTTTGCCTAAAACCCAAAAAATTTGGTCATTGTGATTAATTAAATGATCAAATAGTTACGTAGCTCATTGAAACTTCTCAATTGCAAAAGTTTACGCCAACAAATCTTAAAACAAGGAAAAAAAAAAAAAGAAAAAGTGTGGCGCATTCAACAGTGCTGCGCTACATATGGCGCAGCACTGTTCATGTATTTGTAGTAGCGCACAAATCTAGCGATACATTGGAGAGCCTTTTCACACAAAAAGTGTATTTTCACGCCAAAGTCACGCAGCACTGGAGATGGCCTTATTTTGACTCACTCCAAAGCTACTCTCCGACAAAATTTATCGGCAAACACCAACCAAATGCGAAGACGATGATGGCCCTGCAATCGATTCCAATTTTCCGATCGAAATTCGGAAGTCCCATCTCCCATCTGTTCCCAACACTCAATTTTTCTCTCTCTTTCCACCAATTCGCCCCTCCAAAGCCCCGCCGCAAACCCTCCGTCGACGACGGCAACCGCGGTGGCCCGAATCTCCTCCACCACAAAGACTGGCTCAGCCGGCCCGAAGCAATCCGGATCTTTCAGGAGCTCAAAGATCCCGACCAAGTTCTCCCGCTCTTCTCCGAGCTATCGGCCCGCAAGGACTACAGTCCCAACGAGAACCTCTACGCCACCGTCATCCACAAGCTCGCCGTCGCCAAAAATTTCGACGGGATCGAAACCCTAATGGCGAGAATCAAGCTCGAGCGCAAATGCCGCCTTTCCGATGCATTCTTCCGTGATTTGATCAAAATCTACGGCCACTCGGCCGGCAGAATCAACAAAGCGATCGAAACCCTATTTGGCATGCCCGCCTACAAATGCTGGCCCAGTGTAAAGACTTTCAACTTCGTTCTGAACCTGCTGGTCTCGACCAAGCAGTTCGAGGTGATCCACGAGGTTTTCATGGGGGCTTCTAAATTAGGAATCGAGATTGATGCTTGTTGCCTGAACATAATCATAAAAGGACTTTGTGAGAATGGGCAGATAGAGGCTGCCCACAAGGTGCTCGACGAATTTCCCCAACAAAAATGCCTTCCAAACGTGAGGACTTTTTCGACTTTAATGCACGCGATGTGCCAGCGAGGCCGTGTGGACGAGTCCTTTGATCTTCTGAAAAGAATGGAAGATGAAAGCGTGGAGATTGATGCTGTTGTTTTCAATATTCTGATATCGGGTTTGAGAAAGCAAGGGAGATTTAAAGAGGGAGTTGAGCTTTTCGAGCAAATCATGGCAAAAGGGTGCAAGCCGAATGAAGGGACTTATCAGGAAGTTTTGTATTGCTTGCTCGATGAAAAGAGGTTTCTTGAGGCAAAGGGTGTTATAGGGAAGATGATGGAGATGGGCATGAACCCGAGCTTTGAATCCTATAAAATGGTTATAAAAGGCTTTTGTGTCGATAATCTTGCAGAGGAAGTTGAGTGGGCTTTGAAGAAAATGGCTTTGAGTGGGTTTATGCCAAGGATGGGCACTTGGAGAGAGGCCGTGCGGTGTTTGGTCTTGCACGAAAGTGGTTCGTTTGTGGATTCGGTTCGTTTTTGCAAAGGATGATATGAAGAGAAGTTGAATTGTGCTCATTTGCTAGACGATGTTTGTAACTTGTGTTAAAACTATATGAACTCTCAGCAGCAGTTGACAAGATCTCTCTCTCTCTTTGTTAAAAAAAATATGAATATTTAACCGTTGGGTTTGCCTAACAGTTTCCAAAATCGAACGAAAACAAACAACTATTTAAAAAATAATTATAATAAAAATGAAAGAAAAAACAAACAATCCAAGATTAGTTCATCTTGGCGCCAGAAGTGTAATGCTCATTTCATTTGCCGAATATGTTGCGTTCGAACTTGCAGAGGTCTCGGCATTCGAAACCATTTCCTGCTCTTCCCGCTCGGTGAAAAACACCGGCTGCTTAGCTGGCAGCAAAACGCCTTCGTTGGCCATCACTAGGACAACTGAGGACATGTTTGGCCGGTCCTCAGGACATTGTTGGACACACAAAAGACCAACATGGATTACTCACCACTTGTGGTAAAAAAACATGTGTTTCCCATGTTAAAATCTACAAGTTCCGATGACTTTCCTTCCTTGTATAGCATCCATGCCTGTTTCGAATTTCAAATCTTTTTCAACTTCAAACTAGTGCGTGGCCCGTGCGATGCACGGAAAAACAATATTACGATTGTATTATAAATTAAATATATAAATAACATTAATCATGATTTATTCATTGTTTTTAAATTAAACTGGGTTGGACACAGTCCGACTTAATGGACCGAGAACCGGTTTATAACCAATCTAATTTGCTTGAATAAAATATTTGCTCTCGAATCCGTCAACACCAGTCGGTTGGATTGGTAGGATCGATACGATTTTCTAAATAAATTTTGTTATATTTAAATTATTTTAAATAAAATTACATATTTAAATAAAATAGATATTGCTAAATTATTTATCAATTAGTTTAAACATTTGAATTTATAAATTGTTTAGATATCTAAGTAACACATTTTAAATTTATTACAAAAAGTACTATATATATATATATATATATATATATATATATTAAAATGTTTATGAATTAAAATCTAAACAAATCACAAATGATTTAATAAAATAGCTTCATCGTTTCGATGACGGTACAGTTCTGAAAACCTTATATTTAATGTACATTAATAAATGTTATAATAAACTAATATTTAATTCACATAAATATTAATAAAATGATATATAAATATTCATAAATCATTAAACATGTTGTCATAAAGGTATAGTTAATACGATTATTTGAAGCTTGGACTACATCACATTCACGTAATAAAATATTTTTAATATAAAATTTATATTTAGGTTCAATAATCGATTTGGTGTGATCGAACTAATACATAACTTAGTCACCTAGAACCAACCAAGTTGTGTCAAGTTTTTTGACTATTTTGAATATCATCTAAAAGTAATTCAATCAACCTGGGCAGTACTCAAATTCAATCACCCGATTGATCCAAAAAAATTTTCTTATTTTCTTTAAATATATTTAATTATATGAAATAAAATATTTTATGATTCATATAATAAATGTCTACACCAAATGATAGTATATTAAGATTATACTACCTCCTATTCTTTTTAAATGTCATTTTGGTTTTATTAACTATTTACCAAATAAATGTCGTTTTGGATCTTTTGTGTATATTTTTTCATTATTATCCTTATTTAGCTAATAAATACACTATGTCTTTTCATATTCAATATTCATTTTTTCCCAAAACATCATTCTCTATCTTCATTAAAGAAGGTTATTATTGGCAAACACAAAATATTCTTAATTATTGTGCAACTTCTTAAAACGACACTTATTATGAATAGGAGGAAGTAAATAATATATCTAAATATGAATTAATTATTTTTACTTTATCCATATTAATAAAAAATAAACATAGTAATTTTTAAAAAGTTAAGATTAATTGATTGATTATGTAATTTAAAGAATATTTTTAGCGTTCAATATTTTTTTAAAGGCACAATAATAAAGACTGAGATTATAAAACTTTTGTTATATTTTGAATTGGGATTTTATAAATATAGAAACTGAGATTTTAATGTTGTTCGTTGTTTCTAAGAAAAAAATAAAAACAAAAACATACACACTTAATAAATCTTAGCCGGATTTTTTAAATAATAAAATGAACAAAAGCCCGAAATTTAAGGTAGCATGTAATGTTGTATGATTTTAAAGAAAAAAACTAAGAAAAAATAATAAAACTTACTATTTATAAGCTGCATTAAATTCTGAAATATTTTGTTGCTACTATTTTTGGTAAATGATAATTCTTATTATGTATATATAGATATAGACATAGATATAGATTTTAAAATTTTAAATTGTTCAAAATTTTGAATGCATTTTAAGTTTGTCCCAAATTGTTCAAAATTGTTCGCTGATTTATTAACTTTCTATTCATAGTAAATAGTAATTCTTTATATATATATATATAGATGACTAATAAATAACAGTTGGGCAGTTTGCACTAAACTGATGTGTGGCAGGAGAGTAGCATACCATATACACTGTGAGTATGCTACTAAAATATCACGAGATCTTGACATGTTTCTCATAATAAAAAATAAATTTAAAAAAAAAAGCAAGAACTTTCTTATAATAAAGATGAAATGACTCACATGTCCAAGAAGGTTGAGATTGTGATCTGCATGAGAAAATCCTCTGTTTCTCTGGCCACTTACAATCTCGAGCACCAAAACGCCGAAGCTAAAGACGTCCGATTTCACAGAGAAGAGACCGTCGATCGCGTATTCTGGGGACATATACCCACTACAGTCGAAACATTTCCTTCTTTAGCTTAAACAAAANAACCTAAAAAAAAAAAAAAAAAAGAAGAAATGAAAAAAAAAAACGTGCGGTTGTGTTGTTTGGATCTTACTACGTGCCCACTACTCGGCTCGTGTTGGCTCCGGTCTCGTTCCCTCCAAAAGCTCTAGCCAATCCGATATCTTTGGGTTCATTTCAAAGTCTAGTAATATGTTGCTAGCCTTGAGGTCTCTATGTATGATTCGTAAACGCGAGTCTTGATGAAGGTACATTAGGCCACGAGCAATGCCGTTGATAATATTGAGGCGTATAGGCCAATCAAATAACGTGCTTTCTGATGGATCTACCGAATAAATGAGATGTCATCATTTTTGTAAGTAATCGTAACAACACTAAAAGAGAGTTTACACGAAAGGCTACTACTTAGTGAAAATGTAGAAGTAATTGATGTGATTACCGAACAAAATCAAGTCAAGGCTTTTGTTTGTCATGTATTCGTAGACCAACATGTTTTCTTCGGCTTGAGTGCAGTAGCCCAAAAGCTTCACTAGATTTCGATGTTGGAGTTTGGCAATACACACGACTTCATTCTTGAACTCGTCCACTCCTTGATGAGAAGTTCTTGATAGCCGTTTAACAGCAATTTCTTGCTCGTTTGCTACTTGTACAATAAATAATTCATAAATATAGTAAGATACTCGCACAATATAATCCGGTACAAAAACTACTTAGGCATATAATACTCTTTAAACCAAAGGCTTTTGCTTGGGAAGGTTAGAGTATGAATCTTGTACTGAATGCACCTTATGAACAGGTCCAGAGCCACCCTCTCCAAGCTTATTGGTGATCGAAAAATTATCGGTAGCTTCAACTAGTGTGCATAAATCAAACAAAGGTAACTCGAAGTCCTTGTCGTGAATTTGATCGTAATGACTATTTACATTGTTGAGTTCTCCATGCCCGCCTGCAAACACGAGCAATTCAGAAGATAATATTATACTAATTATAGGTGTAAAAAGCGAACCGGAAAAGAAGATAAATGTATTATTACTTACATCAGTAGGTGAAGTCTCCGGGCGATGGGTCGTCGGAGTTTTCCACCACGAGAGGTAGACTTCTAAACAACTGTTTCTCGAGCTTCTGGCCAGGCTGAAGAAGCCAAGCTCGAAATTGCCTCCGGAGGAGAGGAGGGTATTTCCGTCTTTTGGAATTTGACCGGATGTTATTGTATCCACTGCTAAGGCGATTTTAAAGATTGACAGCAAACAGAAACTGTATGAATGGAGTATGGTTTTCATTGTACTGGATTTGTAAACAAAGTCTGTAAAATAGTAGCCTATACAATAAGTATACATAAAGCTACATGACAATTATATATGCATATAGTAATTAAGGTTACTATTAAGCTATTAAGCAACTGTTTGGGCAATTATACTTTTTTCAACACTTTTGTAACAAATATGCATATATTAGAATATTCGAACTGAAATGTCGACATCATAAATAAAAGTACGATATTTCATATCATAAGTGTGCATTTTTTGTTAAAAAAATATGATGAGTTGATCCGTCTAATGATTAGTTAGTCTCATAGTATTGTTTTCAACTTTCAGAGTTCAGATAAAAGGTCACATTTTCTGTGGTGGTTTGCTTAAGATAGCCGGCCTTAGGTCCGGTCCACACTGTCATGACTTATGAGCTTGTGATGATAGAAAGATTTGCAACTGATATTTATTTTTTATATATTTTTATTTGATTTATTTATGGTTGAGAACTAATAATGATCACTTATTTTTGCTCTGAACAGTTGACCAAGTCAACCGGCTAAATTCCTTCTTCCCATCATTGTGTGGACGAGAAATTGATCGCAGTCAACACAGATTGATTTTTTGCCAACGCAGTCAACGCAGATTAAGTGAACTTATATGGAGCTACAATAGGAAAATCTACTAAATGCCTGGTGATATATTGATATATCATGATATAGTGATATTATGATATATGAATTTTGTTGTAAGGTAATCGTGTACTAATTAAAACATACTAATATTCGATAATGTGCATTTACACATATATAAACAAATTATTATAAGTTATGTATATGCATATAATATTAAAATTATAAGTTAAATAATGATATTAAATTTTAAACATAGAGTATTATATGTTATGTTTATGCATATAATATTAAAATTTTTAAATATATTGCCGAACCATTTTGGAGGACGGTTTTATTTTCATGTAATTTGATTTTTCAAACTATTTGATGTATCTTTGTAATATCCGAAAAAATATTTTTTTATTATTATATGACTGCAATAGAAAACAGAGATATTTGTAATCATTGTTAATTAGTTGTGAAATTATATACTTATATAATACCAAAATATATATAGTATCAAGATAAAAACAAAAATATTTTGTATTCCAGGATATAAAAATGTTACAGAAATGATCACCATCTAAAAAGAGACGTGTCAAAATGAATTATGTAACTGAAAGTTACGTGTTTTTATTAAATGGTAAACATATTTTTATTTGATGAACTACTATTATTATTAATCGCTAGCTGAATAAAATTTATTAAAGCTTATCAACAATTATATATATATATATATATAGATAATAAATAATTAAGTATTCATATGTAATGATATATATATATATATATATATATATATAATAAATAAGAAAGTATTTATATGTAATGAGTTATGGGTTGTTGTTAAAATGATAACAAAAATTCTATTAAGCCATCGAATGATATTTTTATGAAGTCATTCATCACTTAATATATTGACACATGTTCAAAGCATGTTTATTGCAGGACACATGTCAATACACGAATTGTGAATAAGTATGGATGACTCCATAAGTCGTGTCATCCGATCGCTCCATATCAAAACTGGATCACTGAGGGAACTTTAAAATACTATATTGGAGTTAGTATTGTCAATTTTTGTTTGATTTCTCAAGTCATGTACACTTAAGTCCACTATTATGTGAACTAACTATTATGTGAACTAAGTAAAACGGTTTTATGCATTGTGGATTATCTTCTTATTAGATACCATACAAAATGGATCTGAATTTTGGATTACAAAGAGAAAAAACTAAATTCAGACATAAGGTCCGATCTCAACCCTCAAAATGGACTGAGTTTAGTTNCTCAATTAGACTATGTCAATTTTGATTTTGATTTTAAATTTATGAGTGGATATAAGTTAAAATATAATGAAAACCGAAAGTAAAAAAACTAATAAAGTTTTGTAGTGGATATAGTTTTTAATTTCATATTATTTTAGCCTAATTATAGTATAATTATTTTTCAGACATAGCCAAGGAAGATAGTACAAAAAGGAAACTCTGAGAGAACACGTGTATGCAAATTAAAATCCATTTACCATACAAGTAATAAAGCGTTACAAAGCGCAAACACAGGATAAACACATGAAATGAAAGCAAAATACGGTCCATATACATGATATAGCTCCAGGTACAAAGGAAAATCGGATTTACTTCCCCTAAACTACTGCTCGCAAACCATATCCTCAACATGCTGCAACAAACACAGCGTAAAATAAACCATAACCGAGACAGTGAAAAATGAAAAAACTCGAGAGACTGCATATGTTTTTACGGCTAAAAAAATATATAACATACCTGCAGATGTAAGATGGTGCACCGAGACCAAGGGTTGATTAGGAATCTGTTAAGAATATATTGCTTTTAGTAAACATAACGAAAAGGTGACAAGTTTCGGTATATTCTTAAAGTGCATTGAAAGAGGAGCATCATATGGAAAAATCAGCCGTTTGAGTGCTGAATCGTTTCACATTTCAACTCAAAAGTTCATCAAATACAGATAGACATTAAGTCAATTCAGAAAAACAATTATGTTTTAGCATGTAATAAGATGGGGTAGATAAGGATGCTGAGATTAGCTTCAAATATGAAATCAAGAAGAAATAAACTTGACATAATAGCAAGTATCACATTTGACAGTACAAGTAAGCACTTTTTTTCATAGAGTATGGCTGGGTTGCCCTACATAACGGTTAGGCTGCCCCACACAAGAATTATGACACCAGTTTTAGTACCATCAACTGAACTACGTAATTGTTGATAGTCATCTTAATTGTAACATGGCATTATCAATAAGCAGGCACTTAAACTGTTAAAACAGCAATTAATCCATTGGCTGATAATTCATAATTGCTAAAAGATATATGTATATCCATGCTAGTATAAAACCATTTGTTGTGCAGCATTCACCTTATTTTTAGGCACTATTCAGTTATATAACTTGGCCTGTACCCTTTGTAGTGAATAAGGGAAGGAGAAGAATATTAATGTAATATAACAGGGTGTCAAACAAAAGACACTTCGAAAACAGAACAGGTTCCCATGAAATTTGCAGATTTAACAAGTTAATAGTAAAATCAGCAGGAAAAAGGAAACACTAGCATCTATCTATTGCAGCACCATATCATTACAAGATATGACAAATTCAAGTAACCTAAGAAAGTTCGGTTGGTCTCGTGTTAGGCGGGCCTAACCAGTAGGCCTACATTCTCTTTTCAAAAATATGCAAACTTTCATTAGAAAATGTCATACTAGCAAAAAAAGAAGTATGACATTTGATACCATAACTATGCATTTTTGTATGACGAGTCGACCAGTCTAACACTTAAGCTATCTCACACAAGAATTTGTAAAGGTAGCTCTCAACCTCAGTACACTAATGAACTCATTCCCAGAATTAAATTTACAAAGACAAATATTCGGCAACCGACTTTAACACACCTCCAAAAATCAAGAACATAAATGAAAGCAACAAGCTCTCCATGAAGATAATAAGTAATCCCTGACAGATCATAAACAATCACAAGCAGTCATGCGTATAGCAACTCCTCAGTACATAAATTCATCATTTTCCGATATAAAAAACGAGTGTAACTAATGAAAGCACATAAGGGAGAATTAAAAAAAAAAGCTTTGAACTTGAGCACAAGAATCGACACAAACCCTTATCCATGGTATCATGATACTCTGGTTCCTCCTCATCCATGGCAGTTGAAGCCACAGACACCACCGGCTGGCCACTAACTCCGGTGAAGTCTTTTTCGTCGGGATACCTCACCACAACAACAGGACAAACACAATGCCTCACGCAATAATCACTCACACTCCCAAGCCGCCCGTCGCTATCTCTCTTCGTCGCCCCAAATCCCCTGCTACCCATTATAACAGTGCTCAACCCTAACCTTTCCACCTCCAAACAGAGCCTCTCCTTCATGTCGTGGTCCTTGACGATATGGATTTTGAAGGGGATCTGCGCCTCCACGAGCGGCTGAGACAGATCGGCCGCCTTGGTGGAGGTGAAGGTGTCGAAATCGTCCTCGAGCTTCCGCTGGGACTCCTCGCTGCCTGAGTCGACTATGGAGGGGTCGACGCATCCCCAATCGGCGCCGTAGAGGACGGAGGTCGGGCGTACGTGGACCAGAATAACAGCGTCACCGGGGCGGAGGTAGTTTCGGACGGCCCACTTGACGGCGAAGGCCGATTCGTCGCTGAGGTCGACGGCGATGCCGATCTTGCGCTGGGCGTTGGCGGTGGGTGTATCGGTGGAGAGAGGGGTGGTAGGAGGGGGGAATCGCGGCGATGAGGCGCGGACTTTGATGGCGGCGAGAGGCGGAAGGTCGGAGTCCGGCGACGGGTGCTGCATTTTGTTGGTAGGGTTTTTTATTGGGTTGACTCGCTTGGTCGGCTGTGTTGACTCGCTTCGTGGGATCTAAAATTGATATATGAAGAGGGATATGGTGGGCAAATGCAATTAGTTAAATGTAATGGGCGGATTCTGGAATATGCGCGCATGCGCTTGTGGGCTCGACGATTTGAAGCAAGTTGAGAGCACAGCCCAAATGAATTGCCGAGCTAATAATACTAAAACGTCGGACCTACAATTTGAAGCAAATAAAAATACTTGAAACTATATCATATCTTTGNAAAAAACTAACGATCACCACATCTAAATATAGCCTATCTAAACTGATGAACATAGTTACTTACCCATTTTCGAGGAGTATAGAGTTGTTGGGATTTTAGTTGGTCATCGGAGTTGGATGACGAAAAGATCGGAGGAGGATATATTTTATTCAAAATGGCTTACATGTTAACATTGGATAATGGAAATGTGAACAATCATGATCAGTTGCACGGTTTTGTTATGAAGCCAACAGTTGGTTCTAGGGGTGTTCACGGTCCGGTTTTAACCGGAAAAAACCGTCAATCCGGACCGCGAATCGGTTAAATGGTCAGTTAAAAAAGCCTTAAAAAATTCGGTGGTTAATTTTTTTAAAAATCCGGAATAACCGGTCCGGTTAACGGATTACCTGCGGCAAACCGCCGGTTTAACCGGAGCGGACCGGTAAATATTAAAAAACTATAACAAATATATATATACATTCAGTCATTCACTATGGCCGACAAATACAATACATTCCCTATGAATGCTTTGCTCTTATTATTTCAGGTGTATAAACTGACTGAAAAATGAATGTTTGCTTGAGTTCAGTTTGCATAATTAATCTTCATCATTTTTGTATTTTTATGTTTATGGGAGGAAATGTGCATTTTTATGCTTATGAGACGAATTGTGTACTTTTTATTTCATTATTGTTGTTTTTCTTAATTTTTAAGCCCAAATAATCTTTTTAGGACCCAAAATTAAAAAACAAAAATTAAGCCCAAAATGAAAAAAATAAAAATTGAAGGCCCAAAACAAGTTTTAGATTTAACCGGTTAACCGCCAAACCGGACCGTCCAATGTGGTCCGGATTGTGGTCGGTTAAAAAATAAAACCGGTCCGGTTATGGACAAGAAAAAAAATTAACCGTTAGGTCCGGTTTGGTCATGGTTTGGGCTAAAACCGGACCAATCCGGACCGTGAACACCCCTAGTTGGTTTATTCTATACTCGATAAGTACCAATATGCAATGGGGGGTTGATATCCTTTTCTATGAGTCAATGTGTCCCTCGTTCTTTATCATTAGAAGGAACTTTTCGTATAAATTTTCTTGGTAAGAAGCGGATTAAATAATTACATATTACGTCAGCCTCTTCTGCGCCGATCTGAACTTCGCTTCTAAAGTTGGGTCGATGCCTCATAGGACATAGGGCTAAAGAGAGAGCCAAAAAAGATCTTTCGTGTATAATCCTGGATAATCTCGAATGTTATCAGTTCCGGTGCATACCCCGTTTTTGCGCAGCAGGGTTATGAAAATCCACGAGAAGCGACTGGGCGTATTGTATGTTATAAATATATCTATCCCCTACAAACTTTTCGAAGCGAAGTGAAGGAAAGGTGTAATTGAGGAGGTGGTCGATGTCTTCCTCCACTGAAGGGTGTTTCAATCAAGTTCTAGATTTGTTTCAGTGTTTGCTTTCTCTTGTAAGATACATCATGTAATTTAAGACTTTCTGGTCTAGGCCATCTCTCAGGCTTACACAAGTCTAATTCTTCCACGGCTTGCAACAAGGCCAATCATTGAAAGTCAATCGGGATTGATACCGCTATGAGGCGCTTTATAAGCCCTGTTAATGATCTCCCCCTATATGCGGGAACTGCTTGAACTGCTACTCTAACAACATATTGGAGTCAACCTTCTTTATACAACAAGTAAACCTACCATATTCTCTGATTACTTAAATAACACTAATATAATTTTATTAATATGATATGTTTATTTGTTGTATATAGAAGGTTGGCTCCACTATGGAGCCAACTGTTGGCTTCATAGCAAAACCGATCAGTTGCATTATTCGAGAAGACACCTTTATTGAGGTAGTGCTTCGAATTTCGAGGTAAGCCCTGCAGTTTCTACAATAATTACCTCTCATAATGACCAACCATAAAAAACGTCACATCCACTAAACCACACGCCAAACTGATTATATAGATCGAGCTCACTTGAAGTAGTTTGGGGGGCAAGGAGGCTAGATGATATAGTCCCAGCTCAGCTCAATCGAGTCCATCACCTCAAGGTAACCGAGCTACAGAAGGCGAATGGTTCAAGTCTAATATAGCCCCGACTCGATTGAACCAGGTCCATCAACTCAAGTCAATTGAGCTATAGAGGTCGGTACAGGTCTAGTGCACCCCTAGCTCGGTTGGGCTAGATTAGTCATATTGGAGGTGACCGATCTACTATTTCCTATGGGATCTATCTACGATTTTGAGGCATTTAGCTCCAGTTTCATATTCAATCCGCGAGCGCAAAGGCACATGAGAAGATATATCTAGCCTTGATAGGAATGTAGCACAACGAAACGAGTCGTAGAAGGAGTACGTAACTCAATACACATGATTTGTGATATATTTCTTTTCACTTACACTTCAATTGAAAATTTTGTAAAAAAATCAACCTACATAATGGACATATAACTTTTGCAAGTCATGTGGGATATATTAATTTGGGCATAATCTTGTGCTGCACAATTTGTTGTGTGTTCCTTCATTTCATTTATTTTGATTAAGGTTTCTAAGTTAATTTCATTCAATAATTGTTCTATGAATTTTGTTTTTTCTTACTACATATTGTAGTACCTGCAAACCTATAATATAAAACTCAGTTTATATTAGAAGTTCCAACTAAGGTTCAAGAGACAAGTGAGATTCGTCAAATAAAAGGATGTTTTTCATTAAAAAAATCCAATAATTAGATTGTCAGCACAATACGGTCAAACTTCAATGTCCATTTGGTTGGAAAATTTTGAAAAAATTAATGATGATTTTGACGCATTTTCGAGATATCGTATAATGAAATTGTAAATACTAAAACAGGTCGAGTCAAAAGATTATATATTTTTTTGAAGTTTATTACCGAAGAGGCGATGGCGAATGACGGCCATTTGTTTTTTACAATTTTTTATTTTTTTTACCAACATTGATTAATTTTAAATATGTTGGATCAAGAATTGATATATTTAATTGAAAACTGAAGCAACAAAAGTGATAAACAAATATATTTTATGTAGAAATGCGTTTGTTAACTGAAACATGTGTATTTGTTAATTGTTTAATGAAATTGTAATATCATAAGGGTAATAATGTGCATAGGAATATATCATAATAATTGTCCACAACGGTTGATGGCGAGACGGAAAGAAAGTATCACACAAAAAATATTAATTCAATTGTATCTATACTGATAGATAAAAATGACGCATGGTATAACGGACAGTGGACGTGCCGGAGTGGTTATCGGGCATGACTAGAAATCATGTGGGCTCTGCCCGCGCAGGTTCGAGTCCTGCCGTCCACGACGTTCCACTTTTTACTCTTTTGGTGCCATTTTTTTTCTTTTTTTTGGGCTGCACTATATTGATGTTTGGTTAATTGTATTTACTAAGCATGTCATCAGCCCATGTGCCCCTGCCTCTGTGGCCCGGCCCGTTTGGAAGCCATAAAAGCCCAATGTAAGTGTCATTAGAGTTGTTAAATTACACGTGTCGCTCGCTTAATCGCTTGAGAATCGAGTCGAGATCGATCTCGTTTAGTTAACGAGCGGAGCTCGACTCGTTAAGACTAAAAAAAATGTAATTTTTATAATACGACTCGTTAAGCTCAAATTTGACTCGTTAATTTTTAATAAACAAAACAAAAATTCTAGCTCGATTACTGACTCGTTAAGGACCCAACATCGAATTCCTTCTACACCATTGGCCCACAAAACCAACCAAGCAAACCAAAATAATGAAATGTTTGGGATGTTGATGGACAACTTTTTTTTAAATATGATATTTATCTTTATTTTTACTAGTTCTCTTGTTTACTTCCAGATATTTTACTCTGAATCCGAGTGACTGATATTTGGGTGATAAAGATTAAAGATAGATATTANGTAAACCGTGCTCCAAGCCATTGGTTTCCTCTTTGTACCATATAAAAATTAAAAATACCTTTGTCTTTTCCCCCAAGCCATACCATATATTAAACCACTCCTAGTTTTTCTATCATTATTAATAAATTTTCCCCTCAACCTATCTCCCTTTTGTTTTTTACCAGCCCCAACCCATTTCACACAAAGAAAATCATGAAAAAATAAAATAAAATTATATATATATATACAAAAAATTGTGAAATTCTTAATTTCAAGAAATGATTGCAGCAAGAGGGGGCTGGATTGTGGCAACAAGCATTGGAGCAGTTGAGGCCTTGAAAGATCAATTAGGCTTTTGCAGATGGAATTACACTTTGAGGTCAATCAAGAAACGTGCCGAAAACAGAACCTTATTTTATTACAACAACAACAATAATAATCAGATGCAAAATGTTGCTTCTAAATTTTCTCGTTCTCACTCTTCATCTGACGTAGCCGGAGGCAAATTGACGATAGATCGAGATAAGATTGAGAGACGAGAGAAATGTATGAGGAAAGTTATGGATTTGAGTTCTTGGGGTCCTAGCACAACTAGATTTTGATTTATTTATTTATTTTTTTTCGAAATTTGTTTAGGAATTAGGTAGTTAGGTAAATCGCCTTTGGATCGAACAAGGGCGAGTTGGATTCGATCGAGCGGTGCATGATTTGTGATTCAAATTTGAAATCTTGCACCTTTTGATTCATGAATCTATTGTGTTGATGCACTATTTTTGTGGTTTGATTTGAATATTATGCCTTGTGAGATGTTTGATTCATGTGTTTATGTGCAAGATGTATAATGAGAGGTGTATTGTGCAAATTAAAATTCCTTAGATGGTTTTCATATAAATTTTGTCATGAAGTATTTATTTATATTTTGGATTGTATAATTTGCAATAATTGTGTATTTTAATACGATTTTATTATCGCACGAATTGATGTGCAGGAATAGATGTTTGCAAAATGCATAAACATGATACAAATGTTTTAGGTCGTGCATTTTAATAAACACGTTGGCTCGACTTGCTTAACTCGTAAAATCTCGACTCGACGCGAGTCGGTTTGTACATAATCAAAATCGTATATATTCACGAATATTATTTGTATGTATGTAAGCATGCCCAAAATCGTAAACAATATGTTTGAAGATATGATTTGTACAAATGATTTGTACTTTGCTGAGTGTTTCTATCCTAACTTGTTTAAGTAAAAAAACGAGCTGAGGTTGAGCGTTCACAAACCGAATCTGAGTTGTGTTCTCGTGGTTCAAATAACATTTCTATGTGCATTTTGTTTGGGCTTTAAAATATACTTATTTACAATTGGGCTCAAATATACTCGTTCATGGCCCAAATAGAATAAATAGGCTTTTACACTTTTATCCCCTTTTTAATCAATTTTCCTCAACGTTTTCAATGTGGTTACATGGAAGTCGTGACTCTTAAACGTTAAAATAATTAAAAGCCCCAGCTTTGATTTCTCATTAAAGCTCTAGAAATGAAAGTTTTCAACTCCTATAATTAAAGCTCATAAAAACTCCACCAGATGAAATTAAATCATTTTCCGTCACAATTATTTAGTTGCGCAATTTCAATTTTATTCTTATTTGTCGCAAAATAATAATCACGGTACAATTGTTTTTGTATGCAGCACAGAATACTTTGTTTTTAATAAAGTTGTATATTTTATGTTATCAAATGTCCTACTTTTTGTTTATTTCATTTTTTAGAACATGATATTTCAAAAAATCCGCTAGGCCCATGCGCCGCAAGGGATGCCAAAAAATCGGCAATAAAATTAGCTTCCCGATATCTATGCTGTAAAACCACCTGCCATGTCCGGCCTAACATCTCCCGTATCCCTCGTAGAATCGCCCTATGGATACCGCATCCATCATCCCCACTGACCACGGCGATAATACTCTGATTGTCTACCTCCACTACCACATTGCGGGCCCCTATCTCCCATGCAAGCGTCAGACCCTGGAACAAACCCCAAAGCTCAGCACCAATAACGGAGCAAAACCCAATGTTCATCACGAATCCACTCAACCATTTCCCCATATGGTCTCGAATAACACCGCCAGCACTAGCCATACCCGTACTCGGTAAATGACTGCCATCTGTGTTGACCTTCACCACACCTTCCTCAGATGGTTTCCACCCTATCCATCGTTGTTCACGATGGCCGACAGCGCCTAACAAACCACCACTAGCCTCGGCCGCATCAATGCTATGGACGAAAGAAAGGACATCATGCACACGAGAATCTACAGACCGGTGCTCACCTTGAAAAATCGTGAAGTTTCGCCATCGCCACATACGCCAAGCCATGACTCCAAAGATGGACGGCCAATCCTCGGCATTTTGCATCAACGTCCCATCCAAATTTGCACAGACCCATGCCTGTAGGGGGAGAGAGAAAAAGGCCGCCCATGCATTCCGAGACAACAGCTTACACCAAGTGGCCGCCGCTATAGGGCAGTCACGCAGCACATGTAGCGTGGATTCACCGGCCTCCATGCAAATTGTACAATATGATGAGTCTGTCAAATGGCGGCGCTGGCGCACCTTGTTTGTCAGAAGACTATCGCGAAACGCAAGCCACAAAAAATGTTGGATCCTTTGTGGACCCGTCCACCGCCAAATCAATCGCCAACAGCGATTTCGCCTAGAAGTCGATGGAGCCGCGAGAGCTGCATAAGCTGACCGCGTCGTAAACCTCCCATCTGGGGAGTTTCCCCAATAGCGAACGTCATTCTCGCCATTCGGTTGGGGGGGCATAACCGCTGCTATTCTGAGCAGACAAGTGGTGGGGACAAGGTGCTGAAAAAGGCGCCAGTGCCAGCAACCATCAGCGGTCGCAAATGCCGAAACCGGTGCATGAAGTAAATGCTCCGGAACCGGTCCAGTAGCATACGTAATTAGAGGCTCCGAATCATGTAGCCATCTATCCCACCAAAAAAGGGCCCATCCACCATTCTTAATTGACCACCTAGTACCGGCAATCACATCCTTCCAAACACTCCTCAATGCCTTTAGTACACTCGATCCCCTAGGAAAAGAAAACTCTGCCGCCATATGCTCAGGATATAATCCATACGTCGCACTAACACTCGAACCCAGAGCGACTGAGGCTGAGTGAGGAAGTTCCAGGCCAACTTCAGAAGTAACGCCTTATTCATACGCCTCTGCATCTTCATACCAAGCCCGCCCTCCTCCTTTGGACGACAGACCTCAGCCCACGATACCAAATTAACTCGTCGGTTGGTCTCAGAACTGCCCCAAATAAAGTTCCTGCACTTACGCTCCAACGCATCACAAACCCCATCAGGTAACAGAGCCGTTTGCATCGAAAAATAAGGCAGCGAACTCAACACTGATTGCGCAAGAACCACCCTTCCAGCCATCGAAAGAGTAGAAGCCTTCCATCCAGCAAGTCGTTTCTCCACCTTATCCAACAACTCCCCATAGGTAGATTTTGTAACTCGACCATGAATCAACGGCATTCCGAGATACTTGCCAAGGTTCTCCACCGCCATAAATCCCAACTCACGAGTTAAAGAATCCCTCACTTCAGACGACACATTCTTCGAAAAGAATACTTGTGTTTTGGTCTCATTAACTTTAAGCCCGGAGGCATCGCAAAATGTCTGAAGGATAGACTTTAAAACATGTGCGTGGGTCGAGGTCGCCTCCACAAAAAGAAGCAAATCATCTGCAAACATTAGGTAAGGAACAGCAACAGCCCCTCTACCCACGGAAATCAGCGACCAGTGTCCAGCACTAACGGATGAATCAATCATATGAGCTAGACGCTCTATGCATAACACAAACAAATATGGAGAAATGGGATCCCCTTGGCGAACCCCTCTGGTAGGAATGAATTCCTCACATACCCCACCATTCCACATCAACTGCATGGATGCCGATGTAACACAATTCATCACTGCATTCACAAAAACGCCCGGTAAGCCCACTAGCTCCAGTGACTGCCTAATAAAATCCCACCAGAGAAAATCATAGGCTTTCTCTAAATCAATTTTGACCACCATAAAGCCACGCCGTCCACGCATTGTTCGCATCGAGTGAATCAATTCTTGAGCTACAACAATATTATCAGAAATTTGACGTTCGGGCACAAAACTCGCCTCATCAGGAGCACCGATTTCATACGTTCCGCCAAAACCTTCGTGATCAGCTTATAGACCACATTAAGCAGGCTAATAGGTCTAAATTGCTGGAGAGACGATGGGTTAGCGACTTTAGGAATGAGAACAATTAGGGTTTTGTTCACAGAAGCAGGAACACGACCACCCCGCCATACCCCGCGAATCATGGAGCAAACTGACGAGCCCACGATATTCCACTTCTGCTGGAAAAATAAAGCATGTAAACCATCAGTCCCCGGGGATTTCAGTGACGACATCTTTGTGAGAGACTGAAATATCTGCACATCCGACAAATCGCGGCCAATGGAAGCTAACTGCCTAGAATCGACTACCGGAAATGAGTCCATAATGTGAGCATTCGCCAACGAGCCCGACCGAACAGTGTAAATATCTTTAAAAAAATTTGTGGCCATTTCCTTCATAGAGTGTTAATCAGTCACAACCCTACCATCATCCGCCACTAAGAGTTGAATATTGTTTCGACGACGACGGCTCTTCACACACCGATGATAGAAAGAAGTGTTTCGGTCCCCAAAGAGAGTCCAATCCCGCTGTGATTTTTGAAGCCATAACAGTTCTTCCTGAAGGAGGACATCATCGAGTTCATCCCGCAACTGTCGATCCAGATCAGGCAAGTAAGGGTTGGAGTAATAGAAAGGCTGTCGTTGGATCCCCCCAATTCGTCGCATCAAACGTTGTTTCTTGTGAAAAATATTACCAAAGATCTCTCGATTCCAATCTGAAGCTTTCGTCGAAAAATCCCGCAACAAAGAAGTGCAGTCCCCTCCTTGTGCCCAAACTGAACAGACAAGATCATCAAACCCTTCATGTGTCAACCAAGCAGCGAGAAAGCGGAAAGGTTTCGGGCCAGGAGACCCCACCCCATAACCCTCCCAGCGCACCAATAACGGAGTATGGTCAGAATGGGCACTAGGTAAGTGAAACACCATACCTCTAGGAAAAGAGTCCAACCACGCCTCGTTGGCAATAAACCTATCCAATTTTTCCGCCAACCCAGTCCTGAACCAAGTGACTTCAACACCATTACTACGGACCTCCTGCATGTCATGATCAAACATCCAGTCCGAAAAAAAAAAACAGACGTTACAACTCCGTAGCGATCCACCTTTTTTCTCAGACCGTCAGAGAAGACAGTTAAAATCTCCCCCTACAAGCCACGGGCCAGACACCCCGTTAGCCAGACCATCCAACTCCTGCCACAATGCACTTCGCACCCTCGGGTTAGGGTTAGCATAAACAAAAGTAATAAAGGATGACACATTGTTACGCCGGGCAAAACCATGAACATGCTGTCGGCTACAGTCCAAAATATGGAAGTCCACCTCCTCCTTCCAAAGTACCCATATTCCACCGGAGAATCCCATTGCCTCCACTCGAAAAGAGTGATCAAAACCACTGGCCCGAATAAACTTTTCCGCGGCCACACCACTGATCCGTGGTTCTAACACTACCATAATGTCCGGACCATTTTGCTGCATTAATGTATTAAAGGAGCGTCTGAACTCGTCAGAAGCTGCCCCCCGCACATTCCAGGATACTATATTCATGGATAACAGAAACAAAGGAAGAGGTGACAATCGTCAACAAGCACTAGCGAGATGCGGGCCATGGCCCTCCTCCGCGTTTGGACCCAATAAAACAACAATATCCCCTTCGAAAGTCGGAATGACCGCTCTGTCATGATGTTGTGTAGCTAAACAGGGCGAGGTGACTTCCATTGCCGAATCACTCGGATCTATATCAAACTCATTATCGGTCACCGGATCCAGAACTGTTGAATCCAGAACTTGGACCGCGAGGTGCTTCGAAGAGTCTAAATCAGACTCCATTGGGACCACCATGGCCTGCTGTGAAGAAATAGCTCGCCCAGTCATACAGAGAGCATCAAGAAATCTCGTCTCGAGCGCAAGAGCATCGGAAGAACGTGCAACCAAGTGAGGCCCCACACCGCCACTCTTCTTGAGACCACTCGACTCTCCTTCATCCCCGTGAGGCGTCTGCTTGTTCGTCTTAGATGTCCTGCTTCGTCTTTTTACCGTCACCACCCTCCATTCACCTTTACCACCAGTGTTAGCCGTGCCCTTTGACACCCCCAGTCCCGTTAACGAGCCACGTGAATCCCCATTAACCCCCGACGGCTGTGGGATGTCCGGTTGGGTCCCCGGTGCCTCACCGTCCGCCTCCCCTAACACCTCAAATCGAGACCCTGAGAAACGAGAAGGGTCTGTCTTGCTCTGACTGTGGACATTGGTGTTAGGTTCGATAGTACCGTACGGGCTTTAAGCAGCGGAATTTAAAATTTTTCAAAGTAAGTATTTATCGTATAAATACAACACTCGTACATACTAATTGCGAATTAACTGATCGTCATCTTTAAAACATGCATCATATACAAATTTTGATTTGTTACTATAAAGTAAATACTAGTAAAAATATTTACCGAATGTCTTGAACTCCTTCACTATTGATGATGGATGAGGGAATCGGTTCCCGGTTGTAACTTCAACGACTTGAGGTTACTCGCTAGAGGAATCCAAGTGTCTTCCCTCTAAACGTATCCACCCTATGAAGCCCGGTTCCGACGACTTTCCTTCGCTAGTAGAAAAGACTCGGTTTTCTTGTATAGGAATATTTATGAATTTTATTTGGGAATTTTAAGAACTCTTTCTTGAAGTTTTATGAAGAACACTTTCTTCTCTTTCTAACACTTAGAAATTTAGGATCAAAAACTTCACTTAAATGCAAAACCATTTTGCATATATTTATACTAAACATTTTAGCATAAAATAATCAACATTTAGTAATATTAAATAAAATCAAATTTTATTTAAATAGTATTTACTAACTTTTGACTTTGAAAATAATAAGATATGTTAAGTAGTTCAAACAACCATCAACAACCATTTTATTATAATCATATTTATTATTTTAATCCTTAAATCATATTTAAAGATATAAATAATAATTGGATAATAAATCTTGAGAATCTTTCTCAAGACTTTATTATTATATCATTTTCCCAATATTATAATAATCATATTATTATTATTTTGGATTTTTGAAATTTAAAATCCTATTTTAAAATTCAACTTTATTAATTTAGTAATTACCTTAATTACTAAAGTAATATCCAAAATGTAATTAATCAATCTTATTGATTAATATATTCCTTTAATTGATATCTAATCAAATTAGATATTTATCAATTAATTCTAACCATTAGAAATACAATCTTTACCTTTGTTCATAATTAGTGTGACCTTTTAGGTTCACCTTAATACTAGTAGTGGGTTTACAACACTTTGTAATTTGAGTTAAATCTTATTAACTCTTATTCATGAATTAACCCTTTAATTTATGAACCCACATATCATGGTAACACCTAGCAAGTAGCATGAATCTAGTATTAAGTGAATAGCGAGTAAACCTATTCCGATTACAACTCCATACATGTAAAATCCTTTCGACATCTAATTTCCCGATTAAGTCTTGGGTATGATTTTGTCGAAACCCAAATTGACTTAATAACTATGATTCTATTTCATGTTTATTAACCCGGTTATGAATCACTATTCATCTCTGCCTTGGCCAAGGACTTTGGATTAATAACTATGAAACACATAGGAAATTCACTTATCTTCATAAGTGTCGAATCCTTTATTGGCCACTAACAAACTTCCATACATATTAACATAATACCCAACTTATCCCTTTAAACGATAGTGCTAGCTACCAAAAGGATAAATCAAAGTAGAATGTAATATGCACAAAGTTACCATTGTGCCTCAAGTCTTAGGATTAGTCATGTACTATTGTAACATGAAAATTCTTATTCGACTGAATAAATTCTTCATTAAGAATTTTCATACGGTCATGTTCAGTGAACTTGTTCTCTAACAAGCACCCACATAAATGTACTTACGTCTTACGCTAATGTTGATGGAATGCAACATTCTTGTCCAACAAGCATACAAACTATGTGCAAGTCTTTTATGGATTATTCGATATCCCATCTCGAAACATCCATCGACTTGGAACTGTATTTAAGATCACGGCTTTCAAGGTATGTTCCATGATCACCATCTCTATGCGCAACCATACCTTATAACCATAAGTGATCTAGGGATTTTATCTTAAGTGCAATTATAAGATAAATGCTTTCTCTTAAGATAAAGAAATGCCTTATTCATAATATAATTCCAATAGACTGTATTTACAAGTAGAATACGTCCAATTAGATTGGAACGCCGGGTACCCTACTCTAACAATCTCCCACTTGCCCTAGTTCCAATCACTCATGTATCTAAGACCCATCTTCTCAAGATGTCCTTCGAACACTTTCTGTGATAAGGGTTTAGTTAAGGGGTCTGCTATATTTTCTGCTGAGTCGACTCGCTCCATCACGACATCGCCTCTACCAATGATTTCTCTAATCAAATGGTATCGCCTCATAATGTGTTTGGATTTTTGATGAGATCTTGGCTCCTTTGCTTGCGCAATAGCCCCATTGTTATCACAATAAATCATTATTGGATCAACAACGGATGGTACTACACCCAACCCTTGGATAAAGTTCCTTATCCAAACAGCTTCTTTTGCAGCATCAGATGCAGCAATATATTCAGCCTCTGTCGTAGAGTCAGCAATTGTTTCTTGTTTGGAACTTTTCCAACTAACTGCTGCTCCATTCAGAGTAAATAAGTATCCAGACATGGATTTATAGTCGTCTTTATCGGACTGAAAACCAGAATCAGTAAAGCCTTCTAGTTTCAGTTCTCCATTGCCGTATACCATAAAGATATCCTTAGTCCTTCGTAAGTACTTAAGAATCATCTTAACGGCTTTCCAGTGTTCTTCACCTGGATTAGACTGATATCTGCTCGTTACACTAAGTGCATGAGCCACATCAGGTCTTGTACATAACATTGCATACATAATGCTACCAATAGCTGATGCATAAGGTATATGACTCATCCGTTCTCTTTCTTCAGGTGTCTTTGGAGACATCGTCTTAGAAAGAGAAATCCCATGACTCATTGGAATATATCCTCGTTTGGATTCTTCCATGCTAAACCGTTGTAGCACCTTATTTATGTACGTCGACTGGGATAGTCCGATCATCCGTTTAAATCTATCCCTATAGATTTTTATCCCTAGGATAAAGGATGCTTCTCCCAAGTCTTTCATGGAAAACTGTTTTGACAACCATGTCCTAGTTGACTGCAACATCCCTACATCATTCCCAATGAGTAGGATGTCATCAACATATAGAACAACAAATGTAACTGCACTCCCACTAACCTTCTTATAAACACATGGTTCATCCGGATTCTTATGAAAATCAAACGTTTTGATCGTTTCATCAAACCGAATATTCCAACTCCTCGAAGCTTGTTTAAGTCCATAAATAGACCTTTGAAGTTTACAAACCATTTGTTCACTCCCATTGGATATGAAACCTTGCGGTTGTTTCATATAAATGTCTTCCTTAATATTTCCATTAAGAAAAGCAGTTTTCACATCCATTTGCCATATCTCGTAGTCATAATACGCAGCTATGGCTAGCAATATCCGAATAGATTTAAGCATTGCTACTGGTGAAAAAGTTTCCTCATAATCAACACCTTGTTTTTGAGTATAACCTTTAGCAACCAGTCTTGCTTTAAAAGTATTTACTTCTCCATCTACACCACGTTTTCGCTTGTAAACCCATTTACAACCTATGGGTACAATACCCTGTGGTGGATCAACCAAAGTCCATACTTTGTTTGAATACATGGAATCTATTTCGGATTGCATAGCTTCTTGCCATTTATCTGAGTCAATGTCCAACATTGCCTCATCATAGCTTATTGGATCATTATCCAAAAGGAATCCCTCTTCATTGTCTTTTGACAATAGGTATAGCCTTTCAGGCGCCCTAGAAACCCTTTCGGATCTCCGAAGAGGTTGTGTTTTAGATGGTCCAGTCTCTACTGGTATGTTTTCCGTGGTACTTAGTGGAATTTGTGGTTGTTCTTCATTAAGTTCTATGACTCCGCTATTCTTTGAGATAAAATCTTTCTCTAAGAATACAGCATTCCTCGAAACAAACACCTTTTGTTCAGAGGGATCATAGAAATAGTATCCAATAGACTCTCTAGGATACCCCACAAATTTACATAAGATGGATCTCATATCCAACTTACCTCCCACTAACTGCTTTACATAAGCAGTACAACCCCATACTCGTAAATATTTGTATGAGGGTGATTTACCACACCATATCTCATAAGGTGTGCTGGGTACAGCTTTACTTGGCACTCTATTCAAAATATATGCTGCTGTTTCTAAGGCATAGCCCCAGAATGAAAGAGGTAGATCAGTGGTACTCATCATCGATCGAACCATGTCCAACAATGTTCGATTCCTCCTTTCTGAAACCCCATTGAGTTGTGGAGTTCCAGGAGGCGTCCACTGTGAGACAATCCCATTATCTTTTAAATAATCAAGAAACTCATTAGTCAAATATTCACCTCCTCGATCTGATCGAAGAACTTTAATATTTCTACCAATTTGTTTCTCCACTTCATTTCTGAATTCTTTGAACTTTTCAAATACTTCAGATTTGTACCTCAATAGGTAAACATAACCATACCGTGAATAATCATCAGTGAAGGTTATGAAATAGTGATAGTTCCCCATTGCACTAACGTTTAGTGGTCCACAAACATCTGTATGGATCAAATCCAACAAACCTTTAGCTCGCTCCACTTGTCCAACAAATGGTGATTTAGTCATTTTACCTTTAAGACATGACTCACATGTAGGCAACCTATCCTCTCCCCTAAGGTCGAGTTTAGGTCCCAATTTGTGAATCCGTTTTTCGGATATATGACCTAATCTAGCATGCCAAATTGTGAATGAACTATGATTATCTAATTTCCTTTTATTTTGTTGAATGGTTAGGATGGGACTTTGTGGTGTAATGGTATACAACCCATTTGTCAAATTTCCAGAATAAATAAAAGTTGTGTCTTTGAAAATAGAACATTTTCCATTTTCAATGACAAACTTAAAACCTTCCTTATCCAATATTGGAATAGAAATAATGTTTTTTATTAAATCCGGAACATACAAACAGTTTGATAGACAAATCTTTACATCATTATTCAATGCTAGATAAACAGTCCCAATAGCTTTAGCAGCAACTCTTGCCCCATTGCCCATCCTTAGGATTGTTTCTTCACCATCTAGCATATTACTTCTTGCCATCATCTGCAAATCATTGCAAATATGTGAGCCACAGCCGGTATCCAATACCCAAGAAGAATCGTTAACAGACAAGTTAACTTCAACAAAATAAATACCTGAACTTTTCAGACTAGCAAGATACTCCTTGCAGTTCCTCTTCCAGTGCCCAGTTTTGCCACAATGAAAACATTCATGATCGGCCTGAGAATTAACCTTCTGTTTGTTCTTCCCTTTATCATTATATGCCTTCTTGTTGGGCTTATTGGGAACCTTTCCCTTCCTCTTCCTTTTCTTAGACTTAGTAGCCTTTGATCCGGAAGTGGATCCAACAAGAAGTACCGGCTTGTCCTTTTTAATGGTGGACTCAGCCGTCTTCAACATGTTTAATAATCCTGGAAGATCAGTTTCCATATTATGCATGTTGTAGTTAACGACAAAGTTATCGAATGACGCTGGCAGAGATTGCAACAATAAATCCACATAGAGTTCATTATCCATAATGACTCCAAGTGATTCGAGTCTTTCCACAAGAGCTATCATCTTCAGTCCATGATCATGAACTGAAGAGCCCTCGGTCATACGACACCTGAAAAGCTCTTTAGATATCTGATATCTAATTTGTCGCGTCCGATCACCATACAACTCTTGCAGGTGAGTTAGGATTTCAGAAGCATTATTCAGTAATTCGTTCTGTCTCTGTAGCTCATTAGACATTGATGCTAGCATGTAGCACCGAGCTTGGAGATTGTCATCAACATGACGCAAGTAGGCTCCATACTCTTCAGCAGTCTGATCCTCCGGTGGAGGAGGAGGAGCTGTTTCCAAAACATACTCTCGCTTCTCAGACTGAAGAACAATCTTTAGGTTCCTCAACCAATCATTGAAGTTGGGACCAGTTAATTTATTATGATCAAGGATACTCGCGATTGGATTCTTAGCCATTTTAGTAGTTTGATCTACAAAAATAACAAACGAAGCAGAAAATAATTAGACTATGGAATTTATATTCATTTAATATTAGGTCTTTAACATTAAATGTCTCCCACTAATTTAATTAGAACCTCATTATAATTATGAAAATCATTATTTTCATAGTGGGCTTGAAGTCCAATAAAAATATTTCATGTCCCAATTTTATGATGCCACCATGAAACAATTTTATCGGTAGTCAACTTTTTGACAATTGTATCTCTATACAACCTTCAAGATGTTTTGCCTCACCTTTCCTTATATACCTCAATTTTATGACTCCATATATATTACTCGGTGTCAAATCAAACCCATCAAAACTTTCATGATAACGGCCCACCAGAGTGTCCCACGACTCATGGCCAACACAAAGAGGAATCCGTCTCACGAATATCAATATATTTAATAGAGTTCACAGCTTTCGACATAGAATCATCCCACGACTCGTGGCCAATGATAAAACATCGTAGCATCTCATGTCATCTACTTTTGATGGAAGGCCTGGATTAATAAGTTCCAACTTATTTTTATCCATTATTGATTTGATATGGAATTAATCAAATTAATCCGTTTGGGTTCCTTGATCTCATCGATTACCATCTTTACGTTTATTTACCAGTTTCAGTCATCTAATGAAACGAAAGCGTAAATAAACCTAACATACATCTAATGCATGGTGGGATGATCATGTCCTTTCCTATTCGATCCATTCGAGCCAAAATGGATCTATGCATATGTACGTGATAAAACAAATAGTAGAACTACTTCTATTACATTTATTCTATCTACCCGTACAAGCACAGGCCTTCGAGATTACAACTTGTAAAATTACCCACACATGCGTGGGCCTTTGTCATCGAACGGTCTCCACCTTGATCTAATCTCTAACGATACAAAATTTAAAATTTTACAAATTTCATCTCAAGAGACTCGCAGGTCTCGATAAATTACATTTCTTCAATCATATTGAAAACATAATTAAACATCCATTCATTCATTCAATCATATTGAAAATGAAAACATCCATTCAAACATAATGAATATGAGGCTCATGATCATCCCTAAAACATTCATCTAATGAAATGAACATAAAATATCAATTTATGAGTCACACGACTCGTGTGAGGGTCACACGACCCGTGTGATCTTATCACACGACTCGTGTGAAAAATACGAATTGAAAATCAAAATTTTTCCCAGACTCACACGACTCGTGTGGCTCGTCACACGACTCGTGTGAGCTCACACGACTCGTGTGACAAGGTCACACGACTCGTGTGAAAATCACGAAGCTAAAATCAAAATTTTTCTTCATGCCACACGACTCGTGTGACAAGGTCACACGACTCGTGTGGCTTAAAAACGATTTTTAATTTTATAATTAATATTTTTATCATATAAAAAATTAATTATATTGCTTATCTCATAAGTCTTAACAAATCAAAATCTGTTTTAAAGACGATAACCGTGGCTCTGATACCACTGTTGGGTTCGATAGTACCGTACGGGCTGTACGCAGCGGAATTTAAAATTTTTAAAGTAAGTATTTATCGTATAAATACAACACCCGTACATACTAATTGCGAATTAACTGATCGTCATCTTTAAAACATGCATCATATACAAATTTTGATTTGTTACTATAAAGTAAATACTAGTAAAAATATTTACCGAATGTCTTGAACTCCTTCACTATTGATGATGGATGAGGGAATCGGTTCCCGGTTGTAACTTCAACGACTTGAGGTTACTCGCTAGAGGAATCCAAGTGTCTTCCCTCTAAACGTATCCACCCTATGAAGCCCGGTTCCGACGACTTTCCTTCGCTAGTAGAAAAGACTCGGTTTTCTTGTATAGGAATATTTATGAATTTTATTTGGGAATTTTAAGAACTCTTTCTTGAAGTTTTATGAAGAACACTTTCTTCTCTTTCTAACACTTAGAAATTTAGGATCAAAAACTTCACTTAAATGCAAAACCATTTTGCATATATTTATACTAAACATTTTAGCATAAAATAATCAACATTTAGTAATATTAAATAAAATCAAATTTTATTTAAATAGTATTTACTAACTTTTGACTTTGAAAATAATAAGATATGTTAAGTAGTTCAAACAACCATCAACAACCATTTTATTATAATCATATTTATTATTTTAATCCTTAAATCATATTTAAAGATATAAATAATAATTGGATAATAAATCTTGAGAATCTTTCTCAAGACTTTATTATTATATCATTTTCCCAATATTATAATAATCATATTATTATTATTTTGGATTTTTGAAATTTAAAATCCTATTTTAAAATTCAACTTTATTAATTTAGTAATTACCTTAATTACTAAAGTAATATCCAAAATGTAATTAATCAATCTTATTGATTAATATATTCCTTTAATTGATATCTAATCAAATTAGATATTTATCAATTAATTCTAACCATTAGAAATACAATCTTTACCTTTGTTCATAATTAGTGTGACCTTTTAGGTTCACCTTAATACTAGTAGTGGGTTTACAACACTTTGTAATTTGAGTTAAATCTTATTAACTCTTATTCATGAATTAACCCTTTAATTTATGAACCCACATATCATGGTAACACCTAGCAAGTAGCATGAATCTAGTATTAAGTGAATAGCGAGTAAACCTATTCCGATTACAACTCCATACATGTAAAATCCTTTCGACATCTAATTTCCCGATTAAGTCTTGGGTATGATTTTGTCGAAACCCAAATTGACTTAATAACTATGATTCTATTTCATGTTTATTAACCCGGTTATGAATCACTATTCATCTCTGCCTTGGCCAAGGACTTTGGATTAATAACTATGAAACACATAGGAAATTCACTTATCTTCATAAGTGTCGAATCCTTTATTGGCCACTAACAAACTTCCATACATATTAACATAATACCCAACTTATCCCTTTAAACGATAGTGCTAGCTACCAAAAGGATAAATCAAAGTAGAATGTAATATGCACAAAGTTACCATTGTGCCTCAAGTCTTAGGATTAGTCATGTACTATTGTAACATGAAAATTCTTATTCGACTGAATAAATTCTTCATTAAGAATTTTCATACGGTCATGTTCAGTGAACTTGTTCTCTAACAAGCACCCACATAAATGTACTTACGTCTTACGCTAATGTTGATGGAATGCAACATTCTTGTCCAACAAGCATACAAACTATGTGCAAGTCTTTTATGGATTATTCGATATCCCATCTCGAAACATCCATCGACTTGGAACTGTATTTAAGATCACGGCTTTCAAGGTATGTTCCATGATCACCATCTCTATGCGCAACCATACCTTATAACCATAAGTGATCTAGGGATTTTATCTTAAGTGCAATTATAAGATAAATGCTTTCTCTTAAGATAAAGAAATGCCTTATTCATAATATAATTCCAATAGACTGTATTTACAAGTAGAATACTTCCAATTAGATTGGAACGCCGGGTACCCTACTCTAACAATTGGTCCCTTTGTGGGCCCCTCTAAATGGTCGCCCAGTCGTTTTGGCCATCATCCACGGACCATACGGCCCGGCTCTACCGTCAGCCGTTATAGGCATATCAGGACCAAAAAGAGGACCAGCGTCATTACCGTTCAATGGCTTATCATTCTTGGAACCACTATGATTGTCGACATTTCCCTTCTGACCACCGAAGCCCTTGTCCCCCTCCAGACACGCCGACACCGTATGGCCATATCGTCCATCAGTACCGCCAGCAGCATTAAGAATAGAAGAACCACCATCCACCCCGACCATTGGCCGTTGGTTCTTGTTACCACTGTGATCCTTTCCCATCTTCCCCCGCGAGTCCTTGTTCCCCTCTGACGATAGACGATCGGAGCACACTGTCACCGTATGGCCATAACGTCCACAATGTAAGCAGATATTGGGAATATGTTCATAATCGACCCTTTGTAGCTTCCAACAAATCATGAATTGAGCGCAGACCGGCTTGGATAAATCAAGCATGACCGCCAGTCGAGCGTATTTTCCCCTAGTTTTTTCCGTAGCCTGATGATCAATTTTAACCACTTTACCAACGATTTGCCCGATCGTCCGAAAAACCTTGTTATGGTACAAATGTACCGGCATCCCCGACAGACGAATCCAGGTAACCAATGAATTAATTTGATTACACTTTTCATCAAAAGAATCCGACCAAGGCTGTACATGAAGGTAGAACTTCGAGTACTGTTTGGTCACTACCCAAGGTCCTCCAACTAACACCCGAACAGCATCCTCATTCGACTTAAATCTTATCTGAAAATAGCCATTCTCTAAATCAATCATACTACACCCCTGCATAAACGGCCACATCACTACCAGCTTCGAGTAAAGCAATTGGGACGTACAAGTCATGTTTTGACTATTTCATTTAAAATTCATAAAAAATAAAAATAAACGAGCTGTTCGAGACAAACTCAGCTCGACTCGTTAATGAATTCAATCAATTGTTCGAGTTCAACTTTTCTAAACAAATGAACGAGATGAAATCAAATTTTCAGGAGCCAAAATATTCAACTTGTTTAAAGCTGATTCTAAATAGAAAGTAACACTAAAACAAATTTCTCCCGAAATAAACAACTTTAAAATTTTGTGAAAAAAACTTCATTGGTATTATATTTTGACCAATTGAACCTTTTTTTTTTTTTCAGGAACAATAGATAATCTCATTACTAAAATAAAAAACGTATGATTACATTCAATATACAAGCCTAAGCCTTTTACCAGCAAACATAGCCGACAGAATACTTTCCGTACTCGTAATTATTAGAATCTTTGCTTTTCCAACTCATATTATCTTTATTATTACAACTAGTGCGTGGCCCGTGCGATGCACGGGAAAACAATATTACGATTGTATTATAAATTAAATAAATAAACAACATTAATCATGATTTATCCATTGTTTTAAAATTAAACCGAGTTGGACACAGTCTGACCGGATGGACCGAGAATCGGTTTATAACCAGTCTAGTTCGCTCGAATAAAATATTTGCTCTCGAATCTGTCAATACCAGTCGGTTGGACTGGTAGGATCGATACGATTTTCTAAATAAAATAGAGATTTATAAATTATTTATCAATTAGTGTAAACATTTGAATTTATAAATTGTTTAGATATCTAAGTAACACATTTTATTTAAATTTGTTACAAAAAGTACTATATATATATATATATTAAAATGTTTATAAATTTAAATCTGAACAAACCACAACTGATTTAATAAAATAGCTTGATCGTTTTGATGATGGTCCAGTTCTAAAAACCTTATATTTACTGTACATTAATAAATATTATAATAAAATATTATTTAATTCACATAAATATTAATAAAATGATATATAAGTATTTATAAATCATTAAACATGTTGTCATAAAAGTATTCTTAATACGATTATTTGAAGTTTGGACTACATCAAATTCACGTAATGAAATATTTTCAATATAAAATTTATATTTAGGTTCAATAATAGATTTGGTGTGGTCGAACTGATACATAACTTAGTCACCTGGGACCAATCATGTTGTGTCAAATTCTTTGACTATCTTAAATATCACCTAAATGTAATTCAATCAACCTGGGCAGTACTCTAATTCAATCACCCGATTGATCCGAAGAAATTTTCTTATTTTCTTTAAATATATTTAATTTTATGAAATAAAAATATTTTATGATTCGTATAATAAATGTCTACACCAAATGATATTATATTAAGATTATAAATTATATATCTAAAGATGAGTTAATTATTTTTACTTTATGCATATTAATAAAAAATAGACATAGTAACCTTGAAAAAATTAAGATTAATTGATTGATTATGCAATTTAAGAATATTTTAGCGTTCAATATATTTTTTTAAAGGCACAAATATAAAGACCGAGATTCTAAAAGTTTTGTTATATTTTGAATTCAGATTTTATAAATATAGAGACCGAGATTTTGATGTTGTTCGTTATTTCTAGGAAAAAAATAAAAATAAAAACATACACACTTAATAAATCTTAGCCGGATTTTTTAAATAATAAAATAAACTAAAACCCGAAATTTAAGGTAGAATTTAATGTTGTATGATTTTTAAAGAAAAAAAATAAGAAAAATAATAAAACTTACTATTTATAAGCTGCATTAAATTCTGACCTATTTTTTTGCTACTATTTTTGTAAATGGTAATTCTTATTATATATATATATATATAGATAATAAATTAATTAGTTAAGATGTGGACATATTTTGGATGTTTTGAATAAATAAGCTACGTTGAATTCAAAATATGATTACTCTTAAGTGATTAGATTTTCGAGTTATCCAAAGATTATTGTTCTAATATTATCTCTACACCATTAATTTTGAATTCAAATTGTAATTTTTCCGTGAATAATAAACTAAACAATTATTATTTTCAAGCTTTCTATAAATAGAATGTCAAATGTATTATTTATTTGGTCAAAATTTTCTAAAAAGGATTTATCCAACAACCTTTTTATATATAGATAGATATTACATAATAACAATTCAATTATTTACTATGTGTATAATTATGTGATTGATTTTTCCTACTTAGCCACCTTTAATTTTTAAAGATAAAGATAAAATTAATTTTTTTTGAAATCGGCTAGAGTCAATGTAACTATCATTTGAGCTCATGCTTGCTTAGTAAAAGAGTGAAATACTCTCAACTTATCATTTTAGAAAGTTTTATGCGAATCTCACAACATTCTTACTATTTTTAGGAAGTTCTCACATTCTTTTGACACGTGTTAATATTTATATTAATATTAACTATCTCAACTAATAATTATTTATTTATTTATTAAGTTTATCGATAACTACCCAACGCCATTATTTAATGATTTGACATGTTTTCATCAGTTGTGACGTATTTATTTAGTGTATTGATAACTACTCAACACCCACTATTTAATAATTTGACTCGTGTTCATCAGTTGTGACTCATTTTTCTAATACAAATAATTAAAAGTACGGACGTTTGTACTTGACAGATATTTTTATAAAATTTTATTATATTTTTTATTAAATATTTTAATTTAAATTATTTATCTAATTTTCATAATCTATACTTTGTAAATTAAAATAATTATAAGTGTTCGTATGCTTCTGGCCTGAATTTTATAAATTTTTTATCTAGAGTCAAATCTAGGATAATTGGCAATAGGTGAATGCCCATCACCAGTGACTTCAAAGGCCAGGCTTGGAAACCAGTACTCCAAATCCCTTGCCTGAATTTTATAAATTTTTTATCTTAAATGTTGTACATAAATAATACATCTAATAGTAGAAATTAGATATAAAATATTTTAAAAACATGCACAATGAATAACACACAAATATTCTCATAATAAATAAATACACAAACATTCTTCATAATAAATAAATAAATAACATCATATTTATAGAATATTTTTTGATTCATTTTCTACAACAAGTTAGAATTCAAAAATATGATCATGATTAAATTAATCCATTAAACAAATAGTATTATACATTTATATGTAATAAATATCAGATTACATAACATAGAGAGTATTTCGTAAATACTTTGTATTTATTAGTAATATCGCGATAACATAAAAATATGATTTAAGTATCAAATAGTAGGTATTTTATTATTTTAGATTTATATATTTATGAATGTTCATAACATATTTTGTTTTTTAATACATAAATCGGTCAAACATATTTAACAACACTAAACAAAGTCCAAAATAATATACGATTTTTTTTTTAAATATTAACACAACACAGTAACACGTCTTACATATGGAAGTTAAAAATACAGTAAAACCATGAAAGTGAAGTAAAGTCATATGGAAGTTAAAAATATTTGGAAGTTACATTGTTAGCGGCTTGAATCGTTACCTTTCACGGCATCATTTCTATTTAGTAAGATATATATGTGGTAGTTTATAAATATGCAATTTATTATTTTACCATCACATTCACATTTCTTTCACATTTTATTCAAACAATTGCTTACACAAGGTATAAGAAATAGGATGGAGTATCAAAGTCCGTGATGCAATGTTACGAAAGGACTGCTTTCAATATTAAAATACCGTTCTCTGAGAATTGATATTCCACGACTTCGAGGTCAAGATCGTTATCTAAGAATTAATATTCCAAGACTGCGAGGTGATTCTTTTAAGACATTTTTGTTTATAAATAGTTATTATACATATTCTATTTAATTTTATTTTCTAATATTTGTGTTTGTAAGGTTTTACAGTGATATAGAATCCATGCCACAATAAAAAAGATTCACGTAGTTCAAACGTTTTGGAGTCATTGGTATCCACACTTTATAATTGTAGTACCAAATGGCGGCAGATATAAAACTACTGTGGCAAGATTCAAGATAAATTTTATGGTGAACTTCAAGATGAAAATTTCTCGAAGTTTATGTATAATTTCTACAGTTTTAACCATTTGGCTAAAGACTCCTTTTGTTTTATGTATAACTTCAAAAGTTTTACCAATTTGGCTAAAGACTCCTTTTGTAAGGACTCATTATTGATCGGTAATTATATCATATGCATTTAGAAAATATAATATATATTTTAGTTACTGAGGATTAATTTAAATGAATGTTATACCTGAAGAACTCTGTATTTATTGCATGAATCAGTAATTATATCTTATGCATATCAAAAATAAAATATATATTTTAGTTATTGAGAAGTAATTTATATGAATGTTATACCTGAAGAACTCTGTATGTACGCATGACCCACTTATATGTCGCTGTTTCACGAGTTACAAATGGGAAATGATTGAAAATATTAATCTGTGATGATAAAAATACCTCAAAGATGAAGAACGTTGTATATATATAAGTGTTCAATAATTTTAATCGTTATGCATTTGTATGAATTGCAAATGCTCTTTTAATAAAATTTTTTTCCGTAGCTTCCGTGGATTTGCACGGGCAACTGTACTAGTTTAAATAAACCTGTAGCCTTAGATGAGTTGTTTGCAAACATAAAATATCTGATTGCAAATAAGTTAATTACGGTTAGCTAATTTAAAAGCCATAAATTTGACTCAACTTGTTTAATAATTGAACTCGATTAGCTAGTTAATCCGTGTAAGTAAACGAACGATTCAACTCGAGTTTATAGAAGTTCAACTCAACTTAGCTCGTTTAATAAATTTAAAGTCTTAAATAAGTTGTTCGTGAATACGAAACAACAATCCGCAAAACAAATTCGATTTGATTATTTCATTCAAAACACATAAATAATAAAAATAAAATAAAATTGAGATATTTGTGAACAAGATCGGATCCGAACTCGTTCAATAAACGAGCTTAATTAGAATTCTGAGTGTTTATGAGCCAAACCGAGCCGTATTCACGAACCGTGCGGTTTATTTGACAACTCAACTGCATATATATAAACAGCCAAACAGCCGCTTTCCTATTTTCACAACTGAAATCGCGTTTACACAGCTTGCAAGAGAGAAAACCAGCAAGCTTAGTCGAAATAGAAATAAAAAAATAAAATAATAAAAAGGGCGAAAAAAGCTTGCGCTATCTAGATTCCGGCGAACATGGCGATCGCCGACGGCGACCACCACCACTACCACAAGTGGTGCCTGTGCCCTTTATGGCACTCCGCAGCACAGTCGTCCTCTTCCACGTCCACTCAAAATCTGTACAATCAGCCGCAGAACCACGCCCACCACAAAGGCGGCGCTTCGTCCTCCGTCTCATCCGTCGTCAGATTGATTCTCCCCGCGAGGCGGAGGCTCCGCTTCGATCCTTCCTATTACCTCTATTTCCCTTGTGCGTGATTGAATCGACCGTTCTTCGAGGCTTTT